CCCCAAAACCCCAAAACCCCAAAACCCCATCATCTCAATTTCAATAGCTTTAGACTAATTTATGAATATTAAAATCGACACCTTTTTCAATTGACACTAATAAATTACTCAATAAAATAATGGAATATAACATGAATTATTCAAAGTTTAGGGATCTTGGTGAAAACGCTAAGTCCTCACAATCTAATCAGGAATAAGAGCTCTAGAACTTGCACCCCACAAACTAAGATAATCCTAATGATTCTAGAGGTAATCTCAAGTCGCCTTAGACTTCAAAGCTATAAATGAGTATTCAGTCACCTCCTGCCACTCTTTAATTGCTAGATCACAATTATGAGGGAATAGAGAGTGCAGACAGATGAATCAAGTATAAGGAATAAAATAATAACAGAAATGATCAGATGGTAGAAGGCTAGGAAATTGACGAAGTTGAGCCAATCAACTTAATGAAAGCTGATAGCTATAGGTAAATTGTAGATATGGATCAGGCATTGGAGCTCTGTGGGGGCTTCGGGAAATTTCAGTTAATTGGCTCTACATTTCTGATGATGGCAATGGTCTCATCTGCCTTCTTTCTCTATTCTTTTGCCTTTCTTGAGCATAAACCTTAGTATTAATGTCTAAACTAGGAGACTTAGATTTGGGAAACATGCCTATCTCTCTAGTTTTGTAACAATCCTGATGTTTAATGGAGGATAAACTTTGAGGACGGAGAGAGCATTCATAATTTGATAGAGCAATTAAACTTTCATTGCGAACCTGATTACAAATTAGGATTATTTGGTTCGTTCTTTTTACTGGGGATTGTAGTTGGCTGTTTCACTCTAGCAAGAGCAGGTGATATCTATGGAAGGCGGAAAGTGTTCATTATTGGAATGATATCCTAAATTATTGTATGTACAACAATTTTGTTTTCAAATAGCATTTACTTTGACTATGTGCTGCTTTTTCTGATTGGCTGGGCAATAACAGGAAAACAATTTGTTGGATTTTCCTATCTTATTGAGCTTCAACCTGCTAAATAGCAAGTCATCATGGGAACTGCAATGTTTATGCTCGAAGCTGTTGCATACTTATTCATCTGTGCTTATTTTTCCTATATTAGCAAATACTGGCAATACATCTAGATTCCCACTATAGGGTTTGCAGTATTTGGTGTGATCGTGGTTTACTTCTTCCCAGAGAGTCCGAGATTTCTACTCAGTCAGAATAGATTCACTGACCTCAGAGACACTCTAAACACCATTGCTAGAATCAATGGAAAGAATCCGAAAACAGCTAATGACTTTTAATTCAAGGAAGAGTAGACTTAGAAAAACCTCCTGAATTAAAAGTTTACTAATAATCCTGACTTTAACGATGAACCTATGTCTAGCTCTCATAGTCTCAAGGAATTATGTTTAGATAAGACTCTAAGGAACAACTTGATATTCTCCTGCATAATATGGTCATGCTCAATGTTCAACTTCTACCTTATAACATTCTACTTGAAGTACTTCCCTGGGAGTATATTCAGTAATTCCAAATGGTTTGCAGTCTCTGATTTCATATCCTTCTTGATTTCTGGAAATATCCTCAAGAGGACTAACCCATAGAAGACATTATTTTGTTCATATCTATTCTCTGGACTTGGATCATTGACTTATTTGCTATTTTATTGGGATGTGAGATTAGTACCACTGTTTATCCTGATGAGCAGAATAGGCAACAGTATGGCATTCAACACAGTATATGTTTCTAATAACAGGTTATTTCCTACCAAGTTCATGACTTCTACATACGGGATCGTCAATTTCGTATCTCATCTGTATGCTATTGGAGCACCATTAATGGCTGAGATTTCTGACCCTTACCCTTTCACTGCTTTTCTCTTGCATTCTTGCATTGGAGCTATTTGCTCATTTTTCTTAAAGGAAATAAATAAAGAATAAAAACAACCTGAGACTGTAATGATTCATTGAGAATAGAGTTATATAAATAGTTAAGATTAATTTTTAATTCATTATTTTAATGCTAACAAATTCTTGGGGTTTTGGGGTTTTGGGGTTTTGGGG